TTAAGAAGGGGGTAAGTCATTTTCAGATATGGAATTTAATCGCAACCATTTTGGTGCAGCATGGGGAAATTATTCATAAAAATAATCTGACAAGACTACTACATTACTTTATTTTTATACTTATTTAAATAAAGTAATTCGAAAGTAGCCCATTTATTCAAATTTTCTTTAAAGATGATTTTTAGTATTTCAGCTGGTTTGTGATTAACTGATTTGTGTTATTGCATTATCCATGGAAACCGAAATTGCGAAAATTTCTATAAGCTTAACTCAAGACTTTAAACCGCTAAAAAGATAAAGGTAATTAGTTGACTCGGTAAAACATATTTACGGTTATTATAAAAAGAATACATTCTTTGAAATAGTAAATGACATTGAAATTTTATTGAGTTATTTTTTTCTTAATATTTTTTAAAAAATTTTATGAATTTTGCGTGCACTTGTTTAGATTATCATGCATTAATGTACAATTCATTACGTTGCCCAATAGTTACACATTACGTAAAATTGTTTTACCTTTGAGCTCAACCAAAGACGTTAAAACTAAGATGTACCAACCAGAAAAATTTCTACATAAAAAATCAATTCTAGGATACCACACATTGGCTGAACAAAATTATATTCCTTGTCTTGTTTATTCTGATATTCCCACTCTCTTTTCTCATTTTTTAACAATTTTTTTTTTGCTTCCGTTTGTTTCGCTTTTTATACCCGTACGAACGTATGTTCGAAGGGTATACTAAATTTGCCTTACCGTTTGTAACGCTAAGAAATAACGGTGTTAGATATAGACTCAAGTGTATGTTTTTGATCAGCGTCAAATTCTGAGTTGATTTAGCTTTGTCTGTCCGTCCGTCCGAACGATAACTCAAAAACTAATTGAGCTAAGTTCACCAAATTTTCACAAATGATTTATTGTAGTAAGTGCCAGAACCCTATTTAAATTGGACATGATCGGGGTACCGGTTCGGGTAGCTGCCATACAACTTCAAAATTTATTTGGCTATATCTCAGAAACTATAAAAGCTGTGGTATTGAAATTTCACACAAACAATTATATTAGTAGGGCCAATGTGTCACATAAAAGTCGTTGAAATTACTTGGGTCCTTCTAGTACCTGCCACACAACTTTAAAAGTTATTTGGCTATATCTCAGAAACTATAAAAGCTGTGATATTGAGATTCCACACAAGTGAATATATTAGTAGGGCCGATGTATCTCGTAAAAGTCGTTGAAATTACTTGGCTCCTTCTGGTACCTGCCATACAACTTCAAAAGTTATTTGACTATATCTCAGAAACTATAAAAGCTGTGATATTGAGATTTCACACAAGTGAGTATATTAGTAGGGCCGATTTGCTTGATAAAATTCGCTAAAATTTCTTGGCTCTTTCTGGTAGCTGCTATACAACATCAATAGTAGTTTGGCACAACCAGTATTTTGAATAACACATAGTACTGAAATTTTGCATAAATTAATTTGGTAATACGGCAACTTAAAGTCATAGTCTGCCCCATAGTTAGTTATGGCACATTAGTTATTCGCACATAGGATAACAAATTCGTACGGGTATCTCAGAGTTGACAAGGTCAACTCTATTTTTTTTCTCGTTTTGTTTTATTTTGGTATGTGTGTAAATATTTTTTCATTTCTTAACAATTTTTTTTGCTTCAGTTGGCTTTTTATTTTTTTTTCTATGTGTGTGTATACTAAATTAGCTAATTTATAGCAATAATGATATTGTAGAAGTCGATTTTATTCAATAGATTAGCTGTCAAAAATTGCCATAAATACTAAAAGAGAACATTATCATCAAAATGCCCAAAAAATTTCAGATTAATGTCAATTTGTTTATTTTTATATTTAAAGTAGAAGGTATAAGATCTGGCTTAAGAAAGTTTTTAAAAACTTTATAAAACTTGAAAAACTTTATTTGCAAAGTAAAACTTAGGTGCTTTAAAAATTTTTTAAAAAATCTTAAGCTATCAAGTGCGTTTTTCTTTGTTATGTCAGGAGGTCTTATTTTTAAAAAATATTTTTAATGGGCAATAATTTTTTTTATCAAAACCTTTTAGTTAAAAATCAAAATGAATTAACAAATGGTTTTTTCTAAGTTTCATACTTTTAAAATTCAAAATCAAAATTTTCAGTTTTTGCGTAACCAAAAAAATATTTGTTTGAGTTTGATAAATATTTGTAAATTTGATGTTTATCAACTAATTATGAATTTTAAAAATTTTTTCCAACTTTTATAACTGCCTTATTACCGACCGCATTGTGTATACAATAAGGTAGGTTAAGTGATGACAGCAAATTTTGCATATTGAGTTTTCAATGGGATCGCACTTCTTCATAGTAGGGAAGTGTAAATAAACTATTTTTAGCAACCTGTCGCTCTGTCTGTCTTTGTGTGCACGCGTGTAACTCAAGTTCGGGTTGACTTGATCGATTTTGACAATATTTTATATAAGTTTATTTCGACTATATCACGAATTGATCAACTTTTGGGATATATCAGACCTTGGGAAGTGGACCTTTTAACAGGCCTGTTTTACATTTTTGATCGATAGAAGAAAATATACTTAGAAGGAAATATTCAACAGATTTACTTGAAACTTCATACGTAAGCTTCATTCGATCATCCGCGAAATCTCCTAACATTTGGAAGAAATCAGGCGTCAGCAACTGGACGCTTGTTACGGGCCAAATAAACATTTTTGCGTATATAAAGAGAAATAACCAACCGATTTTATTGAAATTTAATATTTAAATTAGAGGTGTTAAAACAATGAATCTATAAATTTAATTGGAAATATCAGGGCTCATAAACTGATTTGGCGGCCGTTTTTTCTTTTTTTACCATATCTACGAAACGAATTCATGCAATTTCTTGAAATTTAATATTTGAGTTCTGGTTGCTAACAGAAATTACTGACGAACTTTTCGTATAATTCTGGCGGTACAAAATGAAACTTTACCAGAAGCTAAATCCACATTTTTCTAAGTGTGCTAACTTATTAGCCTTCTTAAAATTGCAAAGAAGTTTTAAGACGCATTTTCACAATCTTTTGGAATATTTTTACTAATCTAGACAATACACATTAAGGTCGATTATTTGCTAACTACATCAAATTTTTTTACCGACCGTATTGTGTATACAATAGGTAGGTTATGTGATGGCAACAAATTTTGCATATCGACTTTTCGGTGGGAATGCACTTCTCCATAGTAGGGAAGTGTAAGTAGACTATTTTTAGCAACCTGTCGGTCTGTCGGTCTGTCGGTCTGTGTGTGCACGCGTGTATCAAGATCGGCTGAACCGATTTTGATGAAATTTTATATGTAAGTTTATTTCTACCATGGCACGGATCGATCAACTTTTGGTATATATCAGGCCTCGGGAACTGCACTTTTTAGCGGGCCTGTTTTACATTTTTGAACATTTCAAAGAAAATATTCAACCGATTTACTTGAAATTTCATATATAAGCTCAGCTCGACCGTCCGCGAAAATTTCTATGTTTTGGAAAGATCAGGCATCGGCAACTAGACGTTTACTACGGGCCAAACATACACTTTTGTGTATATAAAGAGAAATAATCAACCGATTTCATTGAAATTTAATATATGAATTCCTTATACTAAAGCAATGAACATATAAATTTTATGGAAAGATCGGGGCTCGCAAACTGATGTGCCGGCTGATTTTACATTTTTCACCATATCTACGGAAAGAATTGATGGAATTTCTTGAAATTTGATATTTGAGTTCTGGTTGTTACCGAAACTTACTGGCGAGCATTTCAGGGAATTCGCGTAGCACAAAGGAAATTTTACTAAGAGCCAAATTTACATTTTTCTAGGTATATTAACTATAAGCTTACTAAAGTCCTAAAAATTGAAAAGAAGTATTTAACACACATTCTTATAATATTCTGTAACACTTTCATTTAACTAGACAATACACAATGCGGTCAGTTATGTGCTGACCACATCAGATATTTTTTAAATGAAAGCGTTTTAGAGAGAAGTTACGTCACTGTTTTTTTTTTAAGTTTTTTCAAGTTCCAGACAAGTGTCATCACTTTATAGCTTGTACAGTTATGTCCTTTACAAAATCTTCATTGTTGCTCAAAAATTCGACTTTTGCTCATTTTTGCATTATGGTAAATTAACAGAAAAAAAACTGGTACTTGCTATTTTTTTTTTCCATTTTAGGGCAAATATGAGTTCTTATTTGTAATAAAACGATATATTTCACTTGTAGACTACAACCACAAGAAACAAATATTCAAAAAGACCAAACTTGAGGCTTCATGAAACATAAGGCGGCCCAAGAAGAAAATTGTATTGTGTTTTCTTGTTGGTCCGGACGCATACATCCTTCTGCTTCGGGAGTACAATCTATTTCCGAATATTCTGTATGTTTTAAGTGAAACGCAATGTTTCTAATTCTGAAGACGCCGTTCAAGTGAACCATTTTCTCTAATCTAGGTTCGAATATCAGAATTCTCTAAATCGGCAGAAATAAGAATTTTTTGAAAATTACATATATGTATATTTGTATGTTTTGTATGTATACTTACATATAAATTTGAGCTTCTTTTCTCAACGACTTTAGATTACAGTTGACATGTACTTGAAACCAAATTAACTTTTCTTGAAGTACATGTCTCTAAAAATAGCAGATAAGTTTGATCATACTCAAGACACAAAGAGATAATTTTTATGAAAGGGCCACATTTTTCTATCATATTCATACTTCTTTTTACATTAGTGATAACAAATTATAAAGAACAAATTTAAATAAATATGTGTAGCAAAGTTTGAAAGTATGTCGCTGGAAGTATTGTTTGAGCATGAACATATGTACAAACGTATGTATACATGTACATATGTGTGTTAAAAACTCGTCATACTTCAATCACTTGTTCTTCTCAATTTAACCAAACTAGAGTAGAATTTTGATTTTTTTTATTTTCCTTTTCATTACATACAGACGCAGAACCTTTTTGTAAGGACTATCTTGAAATTACAGATCAAGTAACATCAAAAACATTATTAAACAGTTGTGCTGAAGAAATACGACCAGTTGAAATCATCACGAATTCTCACCAAGTAAACGTAAGTAATATGTTGTTTTAGGGAAGTTAATTCATTATTATTAGAACGGCATTTCAATATGTTTATTAGATATTAGTTATTATGCTGCCGGGTATCGTGATTCATGCTTCATTGATATCGCTTTTTAGCTTAACTATGTACTAGTTAATAAAAAAAAAATTTATATGTACTTCAAAAACAAAATTTTATCAATATTCGGAATTTCGGAGCCCAGTACGAATAGAGGAATTGAAAAGTTTGTTTCAGTATAGATACATAGATATATATTTCAATTACTTTCAACTGAAAAATACAGGGTGTGCGAGACCCATGGAATTCCCGAAGGAGGATGATATATTGCTTCCAGATAAACAACTCCAGGCGACATTTCACTTTTTGAAACCTACTTCTTGAGTTATGGGATCTTAAAGTTGGAATTCTTGAAAACCGTCTTATTTCTGTATTTCAATTGATAATTCGGTGAACATCATAAAAAAATCTAATTACTCATTTTGAAGCGCATGAAATTCCCCTCCTAAGCCTGTAACAACAATGTTAGACCATCTTAATTTCCAAAATATTACTGTTATCTCGTCATGTACTCATAATGGCAACTCACTAACCTATAAAACCTTGAAAATAGTATGAGTTTCAGGAGAAAAAAAATTCAAAAATTACATTAAAAATACAAAAACAAAGTATTTTCAAAACAAAATTGTTTCAGTATTATGAATTATTAATATATGTTACATTTCTTTCCATATAAAAGAATTTCCATAATTTATTTATGTTTCATAATATAAAATTATCCTTAAATTTCAGGAGCATCGCGCCTAAGAGCGAAATATAAGATCAAATTAAAAAAAAGCTTTATCAGAACAAATTATCCAAGTTATGTTGACCCTTCGACCTTCTGTGTATTTTTTTATACTTTATTATTCCTAAAATGTAATTAATGACCTTCAGGTATCAGTTATAGTTTTATTATTGGTAGCCATTGTCAGTTATGTTTTGAAATAAATAATACAAAGAAGTTAAAAAATTATTAAAATGTAAGTGTGACTACTGTAATTTACAATAAAATGTGTGTAATTCAATATAAAAAGTTAGTGAATTTAACTCAACTTCAAGTTCATTTAAAATGTATTGAAAAGCTGGTTTGTTTAATCTGAAGTTTTTTTAAACCTGAAAAGTAATTTTTTTGCATAATGTATAATTATTTTTTTAAGGATTAAAAGCATCCGTCAAAATTTTCTACCAATATTTAGAGAATAATATTTCTCCTTTTCTTCTTCTATACACGCTCTTCCGAATCGCATTTCCAAAATATTTTTTTGTTTAAATAGCTTACTTGAATAAAAATATATTTTTTTCATTAACCAATGACACCACTATTATTACTTTTACACTACTTTTGAATTAAAATAATTTTTGTTTCCATTGTGTCAAATATGTTTTTTTATTTTCCTTTTTTATCACTAAACAAATTTTCAATTGATTATGACAATCCAAAATTTAAATATTTTATTCGTATCTTGGAGTACTATTTTCGTCGGGGTCGTATTGTAGTTCGTAGCACGTAACAATACTACAACGGATCTTAGAATAGGCATATAAATTTTACTTTATAAAACTTGAAAAAACTTTAAATATTGAGAAACCGATGATATTGTAATTTTTCTCAAAAAGTATCAAAGACGCTTTGCATTCTAAAACTTTATAAAGTTTTTGAAAACTTTAATATCCCAAACAAAGCTTTTGCATTTTCAAAACCTTGATGAATTTTTCTATTTATTGGAAAAATTTTCAAAAGTCTTGCATTTGCTTATAACTATCTTTTAAATTAAAATATTCTTTGACTAAATAGACTTTCCACCTTCTAAGTTTTCAATTAATAGAAACATAATTATAATTAATAGGAACATAAAATATAAAATATAAGTAGTTTAATTGTTTAAATTTTTGATTTTAAATTTGTACTTTTGTCACTTAGAAGCTTTTGTTAATTCTCTATATGAAGAAAAAAATTCAATAAATTGGTGCCCAACTCCAAGTCCTAAACTGAAATTAAAATGGGCAAATAGTTCACGATTAACTAAAGGAACTAGGATTAACTAAAGGAACATTCATCCTAGGAATGACATTAAAAATTCAAAATATACCAGTGTTGCTATTCTACTATAATTTACTGTGTTGCTAAAAATAAAAAAAAAATGTAGTAGAGTAGTTCCGGAACATAGAATACAAGGATTTCCATTTTTTTTTAACGCTACAATTAACTAAAAATATTTTTTTTTTTTAAAAACGGGGCAAATGGCTTCCCATTCAGTATATCATGAGTTTCAAAAAAAGTATACAAAAATGGCTTCGCGTGTCATATTTCCTGAATAACCTTACCATAAGACCTTATAACATGAGGAGAGTCCAAAAAGCAAAATGTAGCTTGATGTCTTTTGTTCATCTGGAAGCATTCTATTACCCTGCTTCAGGAGTTCCATCGAATCTTGGATAGCCTTAAAACTTTAGCGAACCATCTTCTTTAATAGAATTTAAGCAAGTCCATAAAAAATAATCTCCGTTAGTATGTTAGTATGTAAGTCAAAGTTCGGGAATAAAGCGTTTACTATAACTATAGTTAAACTTTAAAAAACAAAATGGCTGTCAAAATTTACCGTTATCCGAAATCCGTTTCTTCCAATTTTTTATCTCGTTTTTCTTGTAGACCCCAAGTTGTGGGGGCCTAAAATTTACAAGCTTTTAGACATTAACAAATACTTCATTTCGTTAGAAGAAAATTTTTCCCATCTCCACCCCCTCTCAAGTTATCGCCTCTTGAAATTTGTAAAATTTGAATTTTTGACGCCTTATATTTCCGAAACCGAAAGCTTTTTCAATTTTTTAAAAACTCAAAAAGCTAACGGTAAATTCCATGACATAAAAAAATATAATTATTTTTCTTAATTCACGCAATTAACCCTTGAAATCGAGTATTATGTTAACCCCTCTTTAAATTAATTTTGCTTAATTTCAAAGACTGCATAAATCGTTCATCCTAAATATATGCAATCCCAAAAATAGTTTCGGATATGAATGAAAATAATTTTAATAGTGTAGTAGGTATAGATTTTAATAGTGTGGTAGGTATTATACATAAACTGTATTTAAAAGCAGTATATTTTTACATTTATTTATTTATTTCAATCTACTGGGAAGTCTCCCTTACAGATTCCAGATGTATAATTAACTTAAAATAAGATAACAAAAGAATAAACTTAACAAAATATAAGTAACTAAAAATAATTGTAAAAATAAGTAACAATTTATCATAAAATTAAAGAAAAAGAAAAAAAAAAATTTAATCAAAAAAATTAGTGATTTCGATTTCAGAAGCACAAACATTAAATAAACGTTGAGAATTTGCTATAGGCTGTGAAAAGCTGTAGTTAGTTCGGTGAGAATCTAAATATAAAAAACGACGAGCTCTTACATCATAATACTGTACAAATTTAAAATAAGATCGCAATTTATTCTCGCAGACAAAATATCGTAAGAATACATAACTGATGCAACATTACATCTAGATTTAAAAGTTTGAATTTGAGTAGCCAGTAGCATTCATCTCCCAATTCAACTTGCGTAACGAAAATCTAACCATATTTTTCTGCACTGATTCAATACGTTTAATATGTTTAGTGTATGACGGCATCCAAATAGGTGCGGCATACTCAAGATGTGGACGAACTAATGATGTAGACAAGCTTTTGAAAGTATACGGATCACAAAATTGAGAACAATTCCGCTTGATAAAACCAAGCATAGAAAGCGCCTTAGATATAATGAAATCAATGTGAGGATTAAAAGTGAGCTTACGATCAAGAACTACACCTAAATCTTTAGTTTCATCAACCACATTTAAAAGAGAGTTATTCAGATTATAATTAAAATCAAAACAACTTTTCGTTCTATAAAATCTCATTATTTTACATTTTTCAATACTCAATATAAAGCCATTTAAAGAACACCATTTATAAAATTTTTCAATATTTATTTGAAGCCTATAATAATCATCTAAGCAAGTAATAACTGAGAATATTTTAGTATCATCAGCAAATGATAAGAAAGAACAATCAATATCAAAACCACTATCATTTGTAAATAGTAAAAAAAGCAGAGGTCCCAAATGTGTACCCTGGGGAAAACCAGATGTTGATAAAAATGAATATGATTCTAAATTAGAAATTTTAACAGAAAGCTTTCGCCCAAGCAAATAAGATTTAATCCAATATAATAAGGTACCATAAATACCCAGTGCCTGAAGTTTAAGTAGAAGTTTACTATGATCTACCTTGTCGAAAGCTTTAGAGATATCGGTGAAAACCGTATCGACCTGATAACCTCGTTCAACTGCGTTATGTACTAAATGCAAGAAAACAGATAAATTAGATGTAGTGGATCTACCTGTCATGAAACCATGTTGATAAGGAGAAATATTTTCCTTTACTAAAAAATAAATTTTATCCGTGACAATAGCTTCAAATAGTTTTGGTATATAGCAGAAAGTTTAGCTGTAGGTCTATAATTTTTAATATTCAACCTAGAACCACTTTTAAAAATAGGTACAATATAAGAGAATTTCCATTCATCAAGATAAATACCTTCTTTCAATGATCTATTAAAAATAATTAATAGAGGTTCAGAAATGCAGTTTATACAATTTTTTAATAGAAAATTTGGTATTCCATCAGGGCCAGCACCCAGATTGAGATCCAACTGAACAACTTTATTGAAAACGTCACTATAAGTTAATTGCAAATTACCCAAATCAAGAATTTCACCAATATTATTATAATAATCTGGTGCTTGAGAAACAGATAAATTTACGTAAACTGACTCGAAGTAATTTGCAAATAAATTGCATGAGACTGAATATCAAAGGCCGTAGAATCATTGTAAGAAATACCAATAGGAAAACCAGATGATCTCTTACACGTGTTTATATAACTCCAAAAAGATCTAGGGTT